AGAATTTTAACATTACTCATTTGTCATGATATTAAACAATACACATATTCCCATGTCAGTGTGGACCTTTACCAAAGATAAAATTTTAATCTGACAGTGTGGTGCTATTTTGATTTTTTTAAAAACTGAAATTCGGCAAGACGCGGTGGCTCACGCCTGTAATCCAAACACTTTGGAGGCCAAGGTGGGCAGATCACCTGAGGTCAGGAGTTCAAGACCAGCCTGACCAACATGGTGAAACCCCATCTTTTTTTAATATTAAAAAATAATAATAAAATTAAAAAAAAACTGAAATTCAGACTGGGCACGGTGGCTCACACCTGTAATCCTAGCACTTTGGAAAGCCGAGGTAGGTGGATTGCCTGATGGTGGAAATTCACCACCACCCTGGCCAACATGGTGAAATGCAGTCTTTACTACAATACAAAAGAGAAAATCAGCTGGGCGCTGATTGTGTGCACCTGTAGTCCCAGCTACTTGGGAGTGAGGCACAAGACTTGGTTGAACCTGGGAGGCGGAGTTTGAAGTGAGCCAAGATCGCACCACTGCATTCCAGCCTGAGAGACAAAGCGAAACTGTCTCAAAAAAAAAAAAAAAAAAAAAAAAAAACCTGAAATTGAGCCACACAGTGGCTCTCATATGTAATCCCAACACTTTGGAAGGTAAGGCAGGTAGATCACTTGAGCCCAGGAGTTTGAGACCAGCCTGTGAGACCAGGTCTCTATTAAAAATAAAAAATTCTGTATTTTTAAAATTAAAAAAACTGAAATTATGTTAACAGTATTTTAAAGAACATATGCCCACATTCATTCCAACATTCTCTTATCAAGCAAGATCACTAGAGTAAAAAGCTATCCTTTCACTTACAGTAAAATTCCTTTTAAGGAGTTGTCTATAAAAACAGGTATGATTGCTGGGGAATAGAGTGAAGGAAAAGTGGCTGAAGACAAAGGTGCATTTCAGAGCTTTGTGAACTATTTCTATCTTGATTATAGTGATGGCTATAGGACTATGCATTTTGTAGATCAAATCTGATATAGGAATTATACACCAAGAGTGAATTTTACTGTATGTTTTCTATCCTCTCATTTCTATCTTCCCATTCACTTTACCTTTGTCAGAGGTCACCAATGACACTGCTAATTCAAAACGACATCTTCTAAATTCTTGTATTACTTGAACTATTAATGACATGTGACAAGTTCATTCACTTCTCTACTCTTTTGATATATATTCATACAGCTTCCAGGATACTTCATGCTTCTGAGTTTCGTCCTACTTTTTCCATTTTGGCATTTTCAATGTTCTTTGCTTATTTTTTCCTGTCCCATTCTTTAAAGGTCACAGTATACTCCCAAAATCTCATTTTCTGTTTCCACTCATCCAGTATTGTGGTTTTTTATAAGCTTTAAAGCAGAAGACTCCCTTGGAATCATATAAACAACTGCTTTACCTCTTTCCAAGTGGATCAACTTTAACATGGCTACAACTGATCTACGATATTCGCTCCTTACCCTAGCTCCTGCCAATCAGTGTCACTGTAAATTCCATGATTCCAGTTGTCTGGCACAAAAAGGTTGGCTACATTTTTGATTCCTCTTCTCAGGGCTCACATTATAAGCAAATTTCTCACCATCATCTTCAATATCCATCTACGGTACTTTTAATCACTCCCATTGTCATCTCTCCCTGGTCCCACCAAAAATGACTGCTTGTCTGAATAAATCTGTCACCCATTATCTACTCTCAGTAAGAGTGATCTCATTCCTCTTCGAATAGCTTCCCATCTCATTCAAAGTAAAAGCTAAAGACTATGCCTTATGCTTCACGTGTCTTAAACACACCCTTATCTCTGAGGCCAACTTTTTCTTTCCTTTTTGAGATGAAGTTTCACTCGTTGCCCAAGCTGGAATACAGTGGCGCGATCTCAGCTCACTGCAACTTCTGCCTCCCGGATTCAAGCAATTCTCCCGCCTCAGCCTCCCAAGTAGCTGGGATTGCAGGCCCGTGTCACCACAACCGGCTAATTTTTTGTATTTTTAATAGACACGAGGTTTCACGATGCTAGCCAGGCTGGTTTCAAACTTCTGACCTCTGATGATCCACCCAACGCAGGCTTCCAAAGCGCTGGGATTACAGGCGTGAGCCACTGCGCCTGGCCTCTATTTCTTATCATACTATTCCTGCTATGTATAATATCTCACAGCAGAACATAACCAGTATTTGTTGAGTAAATCAATGATGTTCCCAACTGGCTTCTAGGAAATAACTGTCCATAAATTACACAATCAACAATGTGTAACAAACCAAATTATCTAAAAAATAGCTTAAAAGCCAGAGGATTGGTGTTTTGATTTTCTAGCTTGATAAACACAAATGCAAAGGATTTCCCAAAAAAAAAATCAGATAGAAATTGAATATCATACTTTACCAAAAACTTAAATCTATTTTCAAGAAAGATTCAACTATTGGCCAGGCCCAGTGGCTAATGCTTATAATCCCAGCACTTTGGGAGGCTGAGGCAGGCAGATCACTTGACTTAAGATCAGGAGTTCGAGATCAGCCTAGGCAACATGATAAATCACCATCTCTACGGAAACTACAGAAAATTAGCCAGGCGTGATGGCGTGCCTATATTGCCAGCTGCTCAGGAGAGGCTGAGGTAGGAGGATCCCTTGAACCCAGGAAGAAAAGGGTGCAATGAGTCAATATTATCCCACTGTACTCTTGCCTGGGCAACAGAGTCAGATACTGTCTCAAAAAAAAAAAAACCACAAAAAAAATCCAGCTGTGCCCATGATGAATGTGCATTTGGAGCTGCTATCGCATGCTTGCTGTTAAGGAAATCACAAACAAAAATGTATTTCTACAGATGACTTTCTCCTATTTACTCTTCCAACATTTTAAGATTTGCTCTAAAACTGAAGTCTGGGTTATTTCCTTCCTGTAAAGTAGGCTTTAAGTCATTACATTTCTTATACCTTATGCAACTCTAGACTTATTCTACCCAGTAAAACTGATTTTTGTAGCGTTCTAGATCTGCAACTATCCCCAGTCCAAGTCACTAGTCACATATGGCTACTGCACTTACCATGAAAGAAAGTTCTATTTAACAGCACCGTTATAGTCTGTTGTCTCCACAGACATCCATTTACCGCTTATAAACAATTTCCAGAGTCCAGTATTCTATAATTTACTCAGTATATTAAAAACCCATAATCCTTAAAAATTCTGCTAAACAGCCTTAGTACAAATGAATAGTTACACATCTCTTATACCAGGATGGTGAAATTTTAAGAAACCGTTAAAAATTTTAAAGTCACTATCAGATGTTGTACCCAGAGTCTTGTTTCCAGAATATATAATGAATTTTACAACAAAACAACCTAATATAAAAATGGACAAAAAATCTGAATACATTTGTGGAAGAGTAAACAAATGACTGGAAAGCACATGGAAAGACATTCAATATTTTTAAAGAAAATGTAATTAAAACCTGACTGAGATCCTGCTATACTCTCACTAGACTAGAATGGATAAAAGCAAAATACAGGTATGAACATAAGTGGACGAACTGGAAACTTCCACGATTGTTGGTAATATAAAAGGGTACAGCTGGCCAGGCGCAGTGGCTCGGTTGTGGCACACACCTATAGTCCCAGATACTCGGGAGGCTGAGGCAGGAGAATTACTTGAACCCAGGAGGCGGAGGCTGCAGTGAGCAGATATCGCACCATTGCACTCCAGCCTGTGTAATAAGAGCTAAACTCCATCTCAAAAAACAAACAAAAAAAAAAGTACAGCCACTTTTGGTGAACAGTTTCGCTGTTGGTAAGGTTGGTAATATTTACCGCCATACAACCCAGCAATTCTCCTAGATATATATGCAAAAGAAATGAAAACACATGACCATATAAAAATTTGCATACCAATCTTCACAGCATTTTTAACATGTAGAAAAAACTCTAATGTACATCTACTAATGAATAAACAAAATGTATTATCCATAAAATGAAAAAAAGTATTGATACATGGTACAACATAGATGAACCTTCAAAATATTCTAAGTGGACAAAACCAGTCACAATACATATATGATTCCATTTGTATGAATGCCCAAAATATCTGTACAGAATTTATTTTTAGCGTGACAGAATGATCTAAAATTAGATCATGATCCTAATCGCAAAACTCTGAATTTTACTGATTTAAACTGAACACTTTAAATGGATGAATTATATAGAATATTAAATCTCAATAAAGCTAAATTAAGGAAAGAAAAAATGCCAAGGAGGCTGACGAAATCAACCTGAAGAATGGTCTCAAGTAGATCCGTAAAACACCACAGGATACTTTAAGTCTTAGGTAAAAATGAAATCAGACCGCCACTCAATTCTGAGTCATAAAGCAGACTGATCCAGGCTTCTGCTTCTCCTACAAGTTAAGTATCTCCCACCTACTCAACGAGTCCAGGACACAGTGAGAAACTAAAAGAAATACTAAGAAATAAATATTATTTAAGTCCAGCCAGGCGCAAGTGGCTCACACCTATACTCCCACCACAGAAATTCTCCCAACCTCCTCTCCATTTTAACATTTACAATGTTAAACTATCTTTTTTTCTCCAGTTTCCCTTTTCTAGCCAAAGGGCTGTTTCAAAAATATCATTTATACGACACAATTCCTGAACATGTCATACAAAGCCCCTTACAACCATCACTTACAATTTTCTATTACAGCTAGCTGCTCCCCAAGCACATCAGACCCTTCACAACTCAATCTTTGTTCATGTATTGTCTTTGACCTCTGAGTTCTTGATGTATTTATCTATTTCTAAGCCACTGACACAGTGACATATGTATTTAACTATGGAGTAGTAACGGCACTCTGAAACCTCTAATGAAAGGATTTCATACTCCAGTCACTTATATACTTTTTTTTTTAGTAGAAAGCCTGTCTTTACTAAAAACACAAAATTAGCCGGGCGTAGTGGCACATGCCTGTAATCCCAGCTACTCGGGAGGCTGAGGCAGGAGAATCGCTTGAACCTGGGAAAAAAAAAAAATCTGAGAAAATCACAAATGTCAAGTGAAGAAACCATTTGATGATGCATTAAGGATACTCAACTATACCATCTTAATATGGCATTCCAGGCCCTTTACAATGTAGATCAAAATTCTTTTTCTGAACTTACTCTTGTAGCCTTTTAATGACTAGCTACCATATTCTATAAGGTATTTCTCAAACACAGAATGTATACTTTCATGTCTGACACTTTCAGTGTATACTTTACAGTATTTAACAGCTGACTTGATTCCTTTACACAACTCCCATGCATGACTGATTAACTCAGTTCAAATGTTATATTCCCCAATAATTTTTATTCCAACAATCAATAACTTTAATTCCAAAATCAAGAGACTGAATTGTAATATACAGTAATAACATTAAAATACTAATGACTGGAATACTGGCATTCTAAGACAAACAGTAGTACTATGTTTCATATACATAAAGTACTATGCTTCATATATTGCACTTTAAAAGTGTATTGCGTACAACAGTTTGCTCCATACACTTACACATACTGCATTAGTTTAAAAATGACAATCCAAGTAACTAACAGTTTTGTCAATGTTAACTGAGACTGATGTATCAGAATGTCAGTGTGGTAACTCTTTAGCACATCATTCTATTTCCTGGTATTTGCTATCAGTTCTAAATCTATCACTCAAAGCCACCCATAACCCAGTTCCTATTCACACAGCTTTCAAATGCATTTCTTATGACTCTCTAAAAAATACTAATGTGTTCTGAAGGCACACATCATAATCATTACTCCAATCTCTTTTTTTTTTTTTAAGAACTCTATCACCTCCATCCCTACAACTACTATTGTACAATCTACTGTACAAATCAACACTAACTTCTTATTAACTCCTAAAGCAACTAGCATGGTACTATTGTCTCCTATTTTGTATACCTGGGAAGAAAGACTATAGGATTCTATTTTTTTTGGGGGGGGGGGGGGGGGGGGGGGGTGCCTTCCGTCTTGGCTGGGGAGATTACAGGTTTTTTTTGGTTGGTAATTTTTTTTTTTTTTTTTTTTTTTTTTTAGTTTCACTCTTGTTGTCCAAGCTGATCTAGGCTCACTGCAACCTCCACCTCCCAGGTTTCAAGCGATTCTCCTGTTTCAGCTTCCTGAGTAGTTGGGATTACAGGTGTGCACCACCACACCCAACTAATTTCTTGTGTTTTTAGTAGAAACAGGGTTGCATCATGTTACCCAGGCTGGTCGTGAACTCCCGACCTCAGATGATTGCCCGCCTCAGCCACCCAAAGTGCTGGGATTAAAGGCGTGAGCCACTGCACCTGGCAGGAATCATTTTTTATGGTTTTGCTATGATCTATCATGACAAGTTAGGTGGCAATTACAGCCATGTGTCGCTTAACAATGGGTTTAAGTTCTGAGAAATGCATCCATCACTAGGCATTCTTATCACTGTGCAAATATCAGAGTGTACTTACACAAACCTTGGCCATGTTATAGCCTATTGCTCCTAGGCTACAAACCCAAACACCATGTTACTGTACTGAATACTTTAAGCAATTTTGACACAATGGTAACTACTCATGTATCTAAATATTGGAAATAATATACTCTTTTTTTTTTTTTTTTTTTTTTTTGAGACGAAGTTTCGCTCTTGTTACCCAGGCTGGAGTGCAATGGCGCGATCTCGGCTCACCGCAACTTCCGCCTCCTGGGTTCAGGCAATTCTCCTGCCTCAGCCTCCTGAGTAGCTGGGATTACAGGCACGCGCCACCATGCCCAGCTAATATTATGTAGTTCTAGTAGAGACGGGGTTTCACCATGTTGACCGGGATGGTCTCGATCTCTTGACCTCGTGATCCACCCGTCTTGGCCTCCCAAAGTGCTGGGATTACAGGCGTGAGCCACCACGCCCGGCGGAAATAATACACTCTTATGGCACTACCACTGCATATGCGATCTCGCACTGATAGAAACATTATGTGATGCACAAGCAATAGGAAAATAATGAAGAGGACATGGATTAGCTGGTAAGCCCCATTTCAGTATTAGGCAAGCCAGAGAGTCCTTACTTTTAAGACTGACTCATCTCAAGAAGGAAGGTGAAAATAAGTGATCCAGAAAACCTATACCTCCTGACATTATGAAATCATACATTAACACCACTATGACCCTACCTAATAATCTCCTTCATCATTTAGAAACAGGTACTTTTTGTTTTGGAGGAAAGGGAAGATGTTTGAAAACATCCTTGATGTTCATCACCACCAACTAGAAAAACAAAATGATTCTCACTAAATAGCTGTTCAGTAGAATGACAAAACACTTAACATACCTATCATAATAATCCCGTTGAAAGTCATAGTCCAAGTCAAAAGAGGAGCTGAAAAATAAATACCAAAGAGGGTTAATTTGGAAATGTTGCTACTAATTCATAACAGTAGGTGAGGGGAGAACCATGCCAAATAAACCACAACAAATAGATCAACAAGGTTAGCACTGAATGATCCCCAATATTCATAAAATAAATCACTCAATTCCAATCACCTTAGACCACTAGACATGTAGTGGTCAAACTGGTAATTCAGGTTAAAATTCACTAAGATTTCCACATACAACATAGCTAAAATAAGAACACTGAAAAACAGAATGGTTAACTAAATATCCTTATACCACTCCCTTCTTCCCTTTCTTCTCTCTAGTGTCTTATGAGATCAACAATTCCATAGAAGTATTTTAGGTTATGCTATAAATATCAAACTATTCTTAAATATTAATAGCAAAAACTTCAGGGATTTTTAATTCTCTAGAAATTTTTCCTAGGGCAAAAAAAGAGACTATTAACGCAAAAATAATAAAACCTTATTTATACACAAATAAAACACAGTACACTTAACCCTCCCAACCTCCAGAAAACAGATAGAGAAGATGCCCACTGATGGACACAATGCAGTTATAAATAATAAAGTTCCGGACCTGAGTAGAGGGGACGGAGAAGGGTGTTCTGTTACTGACCCGTACATCTCCGCTGCAGATCGTTTCACACCTGCTTTTCCTCGGTTCACTTTTGGCTCTGCAGCCAGGTTAATATCTGAAAAACAGAAGGAAAAATTTTAATGACAACTTTGTATCCAGGTAAAACAAACAACAAAGCTTATTTTTAAATTTTTTATTATTGAGACGGAGTCTCACTTTGTCGCCTAGGCTGCAGTGCAGCGGCGGAATCTCGGAGCACTGCAACCTCCATCTACCGGTTTAAGTTGATTCTCCTGCCTCAGCCTACCAAGTAAGGGGACTACAGGCAGGCACCAACAAGCCCGGGATAGGGCTAATACAAACTACAACGTTTAGAATTGTACACAGACACATAAATGAGAAAATATGGAACAATGTATCTCATCTTTCCTTTTTTTTTTTTTTTTTTTTTTTTGAGACAGGTCTCATGTCACACAAGCTGGAGAGCAGAGATGCAGTAATGGCTCACTACAATCTAGTCCTCAGAAGCTTGGGTAATCCTTCCACCTCAGATCTGCAAATAGCAGGGACCACCATGCCTGGTTAATTTTTCTATTTTTCATAGACAAAACTCTTGGGGGTTGAGTGATCTGCACTGGCCTCCCAATGTGCTGGAATTACACATATGAGCTACCATACTATGCTCAGCTTCGTGTCTCCTTTTAACATTAAAAAGGCTCACAAATTGTTACAAGTCTAGGACTTCATCTTCCTATTCTTTGTACTCTGTTCTGTACCATTAAAGTGTCCTGAGACATAACATTAAATCTGTCTTTGGTACTCTCCACTCTCATATCCCACTTTAACTCTCGCCATTCAAGGCACTGACTGCACACTCAGTTACTGCTACAGGAGAAAACTATCAATGATTTCCTTTCCAGAAATGGTTCAGTTCATTCTAAATTGCAGATATATTAAAATGAAATGTATTAGAATAAAATATATGGCAATTCATGAATTAATATATAGTTGAAGGGTGACACCCTCAAATCATACTCAGAGGCAAATTTGAGTTTTCCTTGCAGGTAAGGATTGGCTATACTGTACATAAAATATTCTGGGTTAAAAATTACTTTGTGAATAATTCATGAATTGCTTAAGTAAACAACCTTTACACACATAGACACACAAAATAATGAAAGGAACAAAGGGAAACAATCCTAGTTTTCAAATATAATTTGTAACACCTATTCCCAGCTACCTACCCTGCCACCACTGCCTACACCAAACAAGAATTTATCTTTTCTTTGTTCTAAAAAGCCGTGTCAGGGTCAGGCGTGGCTGCTCCTGCCTGTAATTCCAACACTCTGGGAGGCTTAGGTGAGTGCATCATCTGAGGTCAGGACTTTAAAGACCAGTCATGGTCAACATGGTGAAACCCTGTCTCTACCAAAATCACAAAAAGTTATTCAGGCATGGTCATGGGTGCCTGTAATCCCAGCTACTCAGGAGGCTGAGCCAAAAGAATTGCTTGAGCCTGAGAGGCGGAGGTTGCAATGAGCTAAGATCACAGCATTGCACTCCAGCCTGGGCAACAGTGAAGCTCTGTCTGCCCCCCCCCCCCCCCCCAAAAAAAAAAAAAAGCCGCAACAGGAAGCCAAAAACTCTCCATAATTCAGTTTTTCACCGACCTGGTCTAAGCTACTCAGTAAACAGTAACTCAATTTTAACATATACTGCTTTTATTAAAATGAGCCTCACTCACTCATATTGTCCATGTAATAAATACCAGTACATGAATAACCTTCAGGTTTTGGTACATTAACCTCATTTACAATTTTGACTTCAAAACCATACAGAGTTTTCTAAAATAAAGATAGAATTTTGCAAAAAGCAATCTGTAAAATGTAGTAACAATGAAACAGACCCAAATTATGTTATCTGTTTGATCATAGAACATTATTAAAGAATTATTTCATGTTACTCTAAGCTACCATACTTTGAGTCAGTATTTACAGATTATCTACCAAGAATAAACAGAACCACAAATATAAAACTGAAAAATAATCATCTTAATTTTGGTAAGAACAGAGGTATGTTTCTTTTGAAACTGAGGCACAAAGCACACATAAAATGAGAAGTTAAAACAGACATCTGGCCAGGCGCGGTGGCTCATGCCTGTAATCCCAGCACTTTGGGAGGCTGAGGCGGGTGGATCACGAGGTCAAGAGATTGAGATCCTGGTCAACACGGTGAAACCTCGTCTCTACTAAAACTACAAAAAATCAGCTGGGCATGGTGGCGCGTGCCTGTACTCCCAGCTACTCAGGAGGCTGAGGCAGGAGAATTGCCTGAACCCGGGAGGCGGAGGTTGCGGTGAGCCGAGATCGCGCCATTGCACTCCAGCCTGGGTAACAAGAGCGAAACTCTGTCTCAAAAACAAACAAACAAACAAACAAAAAAAAAAAACAGACATCTGGTTGGACGTGGTAGCTCACGCCTGTAATCCCAGCACTTTCGGAGGCTGAAGTAGGTGGATCACCAGAGGTCAGGAGTTTGAGACCAGCCTGGCCATCACGGTGAAATACTCTGTACTAAAATTCCAAAAATTAGCTTGGCGTGGTGGCACCCACCTGTAGTCCCAACTACTTGGGAGGCTGAGGCAGAAGAATTGCTTGAACCCAGGAGGCAGAGGTTGCAGTGAGCTGGTATGGTGCTACTGCACTCTAGCCTGGCGACACAGCAAGACTCCGCCTCAAAAAAAAAAAAAAAGACATCTAGCACAACTAATCAAATCAAATACACAAATATACATGTGAACAATGGATTCCGGCTTGAATAAACCAAACCATAGGTAGTAAGTATTCTAAGCTGTCGTTATAAGACAAGGGCTGGGTGCAGTGGCTCATGCCTGTAATCCGAGCACTTTGGGAGGCTGAGGTGGGCAGATCGCAAGTTAAGGAGATCTAGACCATCCCAGCCAACATGGTGAAACCCCATCTCTACTAAAAATACAAAAAACTGATCAGGCATGGTAGCACCGGCCTGTGGTCCCAGCTACTTGGGAGCCTCAGGCAGCAGAATTGTTTGAACCAGGGAAGCAGAGGTTGCAATGAGACTCCGTCTCCAAAAAAAAAAAAAAAAACACACACAAGACAATCTAAGACTCAGTCAAACTATGCAGTAGGCTCAACGGGTAGAGGAGTGAAACCAAGAAGTCCGATTCCAGTGCCCAACCCTAGAAGACTCCAGTCTGCTGTGGGCAGGACATAACCATTTAGACAACATTTTTACATTGTAAAGTGTCATTCCCAGCTCCCCTTACTGAAGATTTCCAACTGAGGGTTGTTCTATCTCAACTACATAAAATGGTACAATGAAGAATATGCTTTACTTAGCCAATTATAAACTATAAGCCTAATGTCTTTATTAGGCTGAAGTAATAGTCACAATATCCAGAATATCTCAAGCTGTCAGTTTGACAGACAGGAGAAAAAAAAACCCTGAATGGAAAAACTCAGGCCTGAATTATATCATCAATGAAAAAATTCACTTAACAGAGACCTTACCTAAAACCTGGCCAGCAATCATTCTGCCATCCTCTCCTGCTACAGCAGCCCGGGCATTTCTCTCATTAACATATTGAACGAAGGCAAAGCCCTTATGAACAGAGCAGCCCACAATTTTGCCATACTTCGAAAAGATTGCCTCCACATCAGATTTCTTGACCACGAGAGTGTTTAGATTCCCAATGAACACACGGGAGTTCATGGAGCGAGGATCTGTCTTGTTGGTAACGTTGCTGGCCATTGTGTTTGATGATAAGGTTTCTCACAAAGCCGAAAACTGTAAAGCAAAAAAAAAAAAAAAAAAAAAAAATTCAGGTGAACAGATGCTAAAAATAATATTCCTTGATAAAAACTTCTGCACTCTCTCTGAACCACTGTTCAGTTAACTGCCCAGAGTATCAGGCAACTTAAAGGGACTCACAGTATTAAATATGTATTTACTAATAAATTCAGAGCCTCCATCCTCTGAATATACTCTTACGAAAATTCAACTTCTTCCTCTTAATTCTATTTCAGCATCACTAAACTATAAAGTCTCAGGAGAAAAAAATTCTCCCTTGCAGATCATTGGCAATATAATTTCCTTGGACATAATTAATTCCATGTGGCTTCCTCTAAGTCCTCAAGCAAATTAAAATTGCCTACATTCTCTAATACCAATTTCTGCTGTTTTGCACATTATAGGTCATGCTATCACCTGCCATCAATAATAACTCTATCTTCATTCGCATTACTTTCAGTGAGTTTCACCGGTTCTGTATATATTCACACAGTACGTCAAATTCTGTGCCAAGCCATTCATTAGCTAGATTAGTATGGATAGCTTATTACACTTACCCATGAAGTATAATTTTCTTCAAAAGGCAATAAATAGGATCAATTTGTTTCCACTAGAAATACCTATTTCCACGTACTTCAATTAATTTGCAATATGCTTTAGATGCGAACATATGCATACCATCTTTTTACAGACTGCAATGACTCCAAGCCTACTTTTTATATAACCTAAAACACAGGACATTTAATAATATCGGATGGTGATGATGATAAAACGTGCCAGTGGAACACGGCATCAATCAAGTAAGGATCAGGGGAACTAAAGAAATATACAAAACTTTCCACAGATTTAAAACCAAAAATTATCTGTCTTTATGTATGTGATGGAGGCTCAAACCTATAATAATGATGTGGAGAGTCACAATACCATCTCAGGTCCTGTATAAGCAAAAATGTTTTATTTCACATTCTTTTAGCATTTTGTCTTCTGCCTCTTCCCAATCCAATCCCCAATCGTTAACAAGATTTAAAAACACATTCTTAAGATTAATTACCCCTTCAACCCTTTGAAAGGTACTGATGAATCTTAAGATTCCAGCATGTTATCCTCCAATCCTCAAGTGAATCATGACAAACTAGTTCTCATGGATGAAGTGAAAATAAAAACGTCTAGTATGTATACATATAAGTACATAAAAATATAGGTAGTATAACACCATTTCATTTATACACAAGTCCTACCATTCTGATGCTTAATACAGTCATTTAACAGGCTACTTAAAAGCTCAAACTTTACTTCCTTCCAAACCTTTCTGAAATTTAAAAGTCTGTTAGTTTCTAAAGTATACCTTTACAGAAAGTTATTAATATTTTAAGACTAAGCAATAAAAATTAACAAACAATTGCCATTGAAAACCACCAGCAGCCTTTCAGCTATTAAGTATGCCAGAAAGTCTGAGAACACTAAGAGGAAATAGAACAAAAATCTGCAAAAAGGCCTAACTGGTTTCAGATATTACTGCCAGTTTATTAACATTTGCCAGGCACAGTGGCTCATGCCTGTAATCCCAGCCCTTTTTGGGAGGCATAGGCGGGTGGATTGCTTGAGGTCAGGAGTTTGAGACCAGCCTGGCCAACATGGTGAAACTCCATCTCTAAAAAAATAAAAATAAAGAACAAACAAAAAAAAAGATTTGCTATTATTACAACTAGAGGTATAATCTGGTTTTCAGAAATTATTTTTCACAAGCAATAGGTGTATCAATAGAAAATATCATCTCCATAGGTTTAATGAGAAGAAATTACCAGGGCTGAGGGTCTCTATAAGCTACCAGCATGCTAAACATAAAGGAGAAAACCCACCAAACCACAGATGTCCAATGTTTTAAATGGACATTTGCAAAAAATACAAATGTGACTGAAATACCCTTTTGAACAGAAACGGGTTGAAATGACCATCTTCTCAACTTTCACAGCCCAAGGCATTTTTCATGTGTATCAGAGCTTAATTCTCTAAATGATCCCCACATGAAAAGTTCGGTAGAAAAGCATCCACGAATATGAGTAAAAGGATGCTAGCAATGGTTGTCATCTCTGAGTTTAAAGATATGATTTCTCACTTTCCTTATGGTCTTATTTTTTAATTTGCTCCAAAATCATCAACTACTTATTTTAGAAATATACTAATCCCAACTTCAAAAGGCTGTCTAAAATTAGTAAGATAGCTGTAAATACCCATACTTAATTATGAGAATTTAAATTCAAGATGGAGGCAACAGTAAAGACAGATGTACTCAAAAATACCGATTAATTCTAAGTAACGTATCCTCCTAAGACATGAACAGTCACTAAAACTAATTCATTTTTAGGGTCAAATATTTAATAATCATGTGCTGAGTACCACGTTTGGGGCAACTCCAGGGGATTAATAGTAACAAAGACTCTCCCCTTAGAGCTTCCTTTTTAATTCTAGTAATGTTGATTTTTAAAATTTTATGTAAGAGGTACATTTCCCAAAGTTTTAGAAATAACCAAATGATGTTAAGTCACACTTCATCCTAGGTACCTTAGATGAAATTTCCATAAAGAGATAATGTTAGCCCATACTGTTTAACACAAAAAAATCTACAGGAAAAGAACTGGGATTCTTGGAAGGAAGCAGCAACAGCAAAGTAGTTTTTCAATCTTTGATTTCCAACAGAAGACACCAAGATGGCAAAATCACTATCCTACAGACAGCATTTACAACAAAACTCCAAAATGCAAAACAGTAAAGGCAAGCTGATAGCCAGCATATATGGTTTCATTAACTGCGGTGGGAGAAAAAAAATAAATAAGGAACTTGGAGAATATGAGTTAGAAATACCAGAATACCAAAATACCCCATAGGTATTTAATTAAAAAGCAAGAGGAACCAATTTGAAGAAAAGCAGTTAAAATTTCCAAGTTTTACCTGCTCCAACAGTGAGTGAACACAAGGGGCATTTTAAATGTGTAAAGGTGCAAGAACAGTTGCATCCCTGGAAAATCTCCTAACCAAACTCTATGGGGCTGATTCCACTCTCCATCTCTTCTTGCTCTCACCAAAGGTTAACCACCAGTCTGACTTTACTAGTATTTTCTTACTTTTAAAGTAAGGCAGGCAGGGTGTAGCGGCTCACGCCTCTAATCCCAGCACTCTGGGATGCCGACGTGGGTGGGTCATGAGGTCAAGAGAGCTAGACCATCCTGGCCAACATGGTGAAACTTCATCTCTACTAAAAGTTAAGAAATTAGCTGGGTGTGGAGTAGGTGGTGGCTCCCACCTACTCGGGAGGCTGAGGCAGCAGAATCGTTTGAACCCAGGAGGCGGAGGTTGCAGTGAGCCGAAATACTGTCACTGTACTCCAGCCCGGTGACAAAGCAAGACTGTCAAAAAAAACCCCAAAAAACAAAAAAACCTCTAATGCCTAAAGCATAACCATAGACATTAGAGTATTTCCAGAAAAATAAATGTGAGGCATTTAAAGTGTTTTTGTAGATAAGTTCCCCTTCTACTGTTTTAAAGTTTATCTGTTGAAGAATCCAGGGTATTGACCAGTAGTTTCCTTGTCTGTATTTTCCAGGATACTCTTAGTACAATTTCCCCATATTCTTCTGTAATTCCTGATTTTGGAAGCTGAGACCAAAGGCTTTTTCAGCCTCATATGCAATCTTTTGGCAAGACTACCTTGTCCTGCAAGTGGCAATACCTTTTTGTGGTGTTATTGATGCTTCAACAACACAATTTCTCTCTAGGTGGTATGATGTGGTTTCTCGAGCAATGCTTTTACCATGTTATGCAGACTCTTGTTAGAAATCCTAGTAACAGTCCCTCAGTTCTTGCATGTAGCGGGTGGCCGGCATCCTTTTGCAGCTGTACAACAATTTCAATGGGTAAAATAAAATCCTTGATCACATTTCTTGCCTTGTTACTACCTTTACTTCTGGAAGGTTTTCTAGTTGTCAGGGGATTATTCCAAAGTGGAAATCTTGGCCAGGCATGGTGGTTCATGCCTGTAATACTATCACTTTTGGAGGCCAAGTGGATGGATCACGTGTGGCCAGGAGTTCAAGACCAGCCTGGCCAACATGGCAAAACCCTATCTCTACTAAAAGTACAAAGATTAGACGAGCGAGGTGGCACATGCCTGTAATCCCAGCTACTTGGGAGGCTGACACATGAGAACTGCTTGAGCCGGGATTCAAAGGTTGGTTGCAGCAAGCTAAGACGGGGTCACTGCACTCGAGCCCGGAACTCTGCCTCAAAAACAAACAAAAACAGCGTAAATCTTGCTTGCAAAATCCTATCTGTTACTGTAAAGAGGGTTTTTGTTTTAGAGCAACTCAGTTTTTTCTAAGAATTTTGGTGTTTTATCAACTAGGGAAAAAAAAAGGAAGCAACCTTAAGTTTAAGGCTTTATAAATATAAATAAATGTAACATCAGTCATATTTACACTGTCTCATTGGTCATAAGGCTGTCTCGTTGGACATAAAGGTTTACATTTTGGAGTAATCCTGTGAAGAGTAGATAGGACAATTCAAATTCTCCTAGCTTTTTAAGGAAGTAGTAGCAGGGGCCGGGCACAGTGGCTCATGCCTGTAATTCCAGCACTTTGGAAGACTGAAGCAGGCGGATCACTTGAGGTCAGTAGCTCCAGACCACCATGGCCAACATGGTGAAACCCCACCTCTACTAAAAATTCAAACATCAGCCAGGCGCGGTGGCTCAAGCCTGTAATCCCAGCACTGTGGGAGGCTGATGCGGGTGGATCACAAAGTCAAGAGATCGAGACCATCCTGGTCAACAGGGTGAAACCCCATCTCTACTAAAAATACAAAAAATTAGCTGGGCATGGTGGCGCGTGCCTGTAGTCCCAGCTGCTCAGGAGGCTGTGATTCAAACATCAGTCAGGTGTGGGGGCCTGTGCCTATAATGCCAGCTCCTTGGGAGTCTGAGGAAGGAGAATCGCTTGAACCCA